CAGACAGACAGACAGACAGACAGACAGACAGACAGACAGACAGACAGACAGACAGGTGGACTGCACACATGTGAGGAGAAAGACCGTGTTTTCTCAAGCCTTTGAAATGGCCAAACTAGACACGTAGCTTCGTAGACCAAACAACGTGATTCCTGAGTTAGAGAAGAAAGAATTATTGTGACACTAAATTTTGGTATGTAAGCTTATTCCTTTGCATATTACAAATACTCAGAAAACGGGGTATCTTTCTTTTCTTCCTTTCAGTCTTTTTTCTGTTCATCTTAATTTGTTTTCTTTCTTTGCCTCTTTTTTCTTTTTTCCTTCCTTTTTGCTATTCTTCTTTCTTTCTTTCTTTCTTTCTATCAGAAGGATTGCATCTCTTTGTGATGTGTCGCAATGGGTTGACATTAATTTATAACCACTCTACCCCCACCCACCCCCACCCCTTTCCTAACTTCTAAACACACAACACACTTGCAGAGGCTGGTTTCTGCTTTCGGGGACGTGAGCTGTTCCAACAGGTACAGTGTTCTTTACCTCTCAGAATTATCTACATCCACTAGTTATGAGGAGTGGGTGGTTGGCGGATGTTTTGGTGTGATTTGCTCCTTCTTTCCTATGAAAAACACCTGTAGTCACTATCTCCCATCCTTATTCTTATCTATATTTTTAGGTCTATGAGATCGACGCCTTCTGATTAGCAGAAAAAGGTATGTATGATGATAGTATCCAAAAGTGCATTACGTACATTATTATTATTACATGAAACTGTTACAGACAGAGATTCTAGGATCTCCTATCCTTCTTTTTTGTTGTATTTTGCTCTCTGGTAACACCTCTTACTGCCGAAACTTATATGACCTAATGGATTTGCAAATGCCGTAAGAGTCTTACTGCACCTAAACCAAACACTGGTCGTTATGAGGCCGTCTGATTCCTGTATCCTAAGCAAATGGTTATGTCCCTCAAAATCTCTCCAAAGGTCACCTTTATGGATTCTGGATTCCAAACGCAATATCGGGCAAACTTTGCTTTATTCCCACTGGAACGATCCCTTAAGTTGTACTGTAACTAGGGTAGTGTTTGCCAAGCTGGGCGATTTGGTTTTTTGATGGTCGTTAGGGAACACCTGTGTCGTGACAGTCATTATTTAATGCTTAGTTTGGAAATTCCTGAGGATGGGCGGCGGATGGTAAGAAAATGTTTGCCTCATTAAAGGTGGCAAAAACGGGAACTGTTTATAAAATCAGGTTTACAAGCACTGCACAAAAACAAAGTTGAGAAGTGAAACACGTCTCTGGCATTTCTTTAGAATCTTTAGACGGCCAGTTGTGATAGTTGGAAATGCGTCACGACGCAGAGGACTCAGGAGCTCGTTATTTCAGAAGGCCTAAAATTTACAGGGAATTGTGTTTTTATATGGACATAAAAGGTGTTGATACAAATTTTTTAAAATCAATACAAATTGCCAAACTGGCGGAAAAAGGCCTTTTTTCGATGCTACTATTTTGACGAGTTCTTGATCTTACCTCGATGCATCAAAAAATGTTCAGTCCTCTTCAACGCAATTTAGATCGTTTCAGAAACAACGTCTTCGACCTGATACATGACAGAGTCCATGCTTGGCTGAATGGTATATCGTGTCCCTACAGAAAAAATGTAGATGGTCGATGAAATAAACTGTCCGATCTCGTAATCAAAGTCATATTTAATTCTGTGGGCAACGGTGAAGAGCCTTAGGCCCTACCTCTACACCGCGGACGCTTCTACAACCTGTGACGTGGTGAAATTGAAATAAATGTTACTAATGAAAGAACAGAAATATATGTGAGGTGTGCTGACAAAATGGGTTATGTTTAGCAATCCACAAATGTAGATATATTCACCAATTATTCGACACTACAGTCAAATTTGTAGATTTTCTATTGATGACATACATTCCTTAAGTATAAGATGGCTTTTATTATTTCATACTTATGAATTGTAAAAACTTCACGTATAAACGGGATGCCTCTATTTCCATAGGGCTTGAATCCGAGAAGTAATATTCATAATGTCATCTTTCTCCTTCAGAGCTGTGCTAGATAGTTACACGTATAGATTATAACATCTTCCTTTGTTTTCTGTATTTTATTTATTCGGCTACAGTATATTTTTTCAAATTAAGGAGATGAGACGAAATAGGAATTCTGGTACCGAAATAGGCCTACAACCATTGAAATATCGGTAGAGCTAAAGGATATAAGACCGTATCGCTGTATAGGCTAGTATAGCTTTGTACGCCTATCTCTACAATATCATATTTGTGAAAGTTCGTCACTTTGGCCGCCTAAAACTTCCGGACCACTTAATTTTCGAATTTGACAAAATTGATGGTAGTTCAGAATCATTTAGAGGGTGAATAGTTTCATCGAGGAGCTTGAAGTCACTGTAGTTTAATTTTCAGTTTTTCATTAGTTTCGTTTAGAGGGGAAAATCCGTCTTCTTAGACGCCATTGTAAACAAGTGAGGTTTCCGTTCACCGGCCGTGCGCACCTTTGAAATTCTGGAGTGTACATCCTATACATCTATTATTTATTTGTCAACTTGGAAACACATGTGGCACTTTTCTCTCAAGATTTATTGCTACTTTCCAGTCTAGTGTAAATATAGTAAGCCAATTAAATTACTTTCAGTTGATGGTAACACACCGATCATTCCTTTCATCGAAAGAGGGCTCAGTTAGTATACTATACTTGTGAAAATCCGTCACTTTGGCCGCCTAAAATTTCCAAACCACTTAACTTTCGAATTTGACAAAACTAATGGTGGTTCAGAATCATTTAAAGGATGCACAGTTTTATTGAGAAGCCTGGAGTCACTGTAATTTAATTTTCAGTTTTTCATTAGTTTCGTTTAGATCTATTTTTGAGAAAGTCCATCTTCTAAAACGCCATTGTAAACAAGTGAGGTTTCCGTTCACTAGCCGAGCGAAAAGATTCCAACAACACCTTAGAAATTCTGGAGTGTACAACCACGAAAGCGGAAAAGAGAATCAATCTACACATCTATTATATATTTGGTAACTTGTAAACACATGTGTCACTTTTCTCTCAAGATTTATTGCTCCATTCCAGTCGAGGCCAATGACTTTCAGTTGAAGTTAATGCACCAATCATACCTTTCATCGAAAGGGGTCCCACCAGCTAGTAACAATACATTTTAATGGTCTCAACAAAAAAATACCGTCCTCTAAAAAAGAAAAAAAGACTGGTCACCCAGTCGGGGTGGTTTGCCACAAAATCTGTCAACTACAGCTCATGCGACCCTTAAGCGTTAAAGAGAAGTTGAGAAGTATTGTTAGACCCAGATGTCTGACTCTTATATACATAATATGATTTTTCAAGTACGTTTCTGTATGATCCTGCGTTTCCAGATTCCGATTAATTAAGAGAGCTTGAAATAGACCCTCTTCAAGCATAGCTGGATTTATTCAATCGTAATATTTTCTTGCAATGTTGAAAAATGACACCTAAACGAGATGGTTAAAATTTGGCCTCAGGATATGCAGAAAAACAGTTGGCTGAAATCAATAATTGAACCTGTTTTTTCAACAAGAAAAGAAATCTTGCATTGAGTGTTTTAAGACTAAGCTGGTTTAGTTATGTCTTTCGTCCCTTTCCAACTCTCGTTGATTGTCTGTCAAACAGAACATACGTTTTTATTTGGAATTTTAAAAAAGAGTCAGTATCAGAGAGCAACGTAATATACAGCAAAAAAGCCAACCACTCTTCGTGTGGAATTTTAATAACACCAAGGATTGTAGCATTACGAAACGAATGTCTTTACCCGTATTCTGTAGTTAATTTCCCCAGTGAAAATGTGTGTAGAACCATTGTAACAACTTGGATTTTAGGACAATGGGGAAACACCAGTCTCTTTTCTGAAAACTTAACCATTCCTCAGTACTCTTTAACTCTTTAAGAAGGAAATGGACAGAATGTGTGGCATCGTGGGGAAATGCGATTGTCAAAATAATGGAACTAAAGGAACAGACATTTTTCAGCAGGTGAGGCGATTTCAGTCCCTATTTCGGACTCAACATTGTTCACATCGATTTATAACATAGTTCTCTATAAACGTTACTTTTTAAAAAGTTGATCAAAGTCACAAAAAGTGTAAATTTGCAGTTTCCAAGGGCTCCAGCTTTGGAAGTCACCAAACTTCTGTGGAAATTTCCTCGCTAGTTTTACCTCTGATATCAAACGACCCCTACCTCCTTCAATTAAAAATGTAGCGACTCCTATTCAAGGTAGACAGGTGGGTTTTTTCACTAAGGTCAAGGCAAATGAACCAGCGTTAAGATAATACCAATAACTCCATATGCCCCAACATTGACGAAAGCATGGTTCTACCATGTCATGACTCAGAATTATGTCCCATCAGCAGCAGACTAAAGGCAATGTTGCAGTACGCTTTTTACCACCATACACAAATCAGAAATACAAGCTTTCATATTGCAAGCACGTTGTTGCATGCGTTTTACTGTTTCAAGAAAACTACATCGAAAAATTTGTTTGAATGAATGATTAAAGCAATGCCCCCAAAACAGCGCTCCTCAAAAGTGCATCCTTAATTAGTTAATTTTATCATTTGTCTCAGACATTTTTTTTCTTTTCGTGTTTTTCTGTCCAGGTTTCTTCCAGCTCACGCACAATCATCTTTGCTGTGTGTTAACAAGTCGGGTACTCAGACTAAGGATCTGATGCAGGAACGAGCCCCGGCCTCACCGGTGACTGTGTGATGATTATACAGGTCCTCCACGAAATCATTGTTATGTCTACCTCAACCGTCATGGCCGATGGAGAGAATATCCTCAGCACACGAGAGCCCTCCTTTTCCGACCAAGACACACTGTCCAAGAAAAGCTTATGGAACACCCAGGGAAATGCATTAGCTAGTCCGAAGATGAAGAATGGTGTGCACAGAACGCCGAAAAAGAAGTCTTCACGTGGGGACAGCGGAATTGATGTTACTCCAGAGATCTTCGTCAGCCCCAGCCATGAACCTGTCAGTGACAACTCGAATCATACGTGGACGCAGTATGAGAGTGAAACGAGGAGAGAACAATTTACAGAAAACTCCTCTGAAAACACGATAAATAACGATATGTCAAACGAAGATAGCACCAAATCTACCCACCCTTCGTCCATCGATCAAACAATGTCACTGCCTAACACTTCGCCTTCCCACTCGGAAGCGAATGTTAGTAATACTCCGGTGCGTACAAACAGAACGGTTCGACAATCCACTTCTTTGACTTCATCTTACACCCAATCCGTCACAATCTCAACACAAAACGATAACCCCATAAAACAATCACTCATAGACACAAACAGCGAAGAGCGCCCGTCCCCTACTAGATCTCCCGTTCCCGGTTACAGATGGAGAGAGATCCCCAAAAGGCTAAATCTACGACTCTCCCCTAACGACTTGAGGGCAACTCGATCCCTGACTGGGTCTCCGTGCATGTCTCCCTTGCGATCTCTCCAAGCTTCTCGCTCTATAGATGAACATCTTAACACGTCAGGCGGTCTTCTCTCCCCGGCTCTCCGATTGTCCCAAACGTCTCTCAGAGGTCTCCCGGCGACGCTGGATCAGAACCAGTACCAACACTGTATCGTGTGTCGGACGTGCTCCACACAGGCCAACCAGATACGACCTCCCGGTCGCCACTTTGTCTTAAAATGGAAGCAGATCATCTCTTTAATGCTTCTTCTCTCCATCTTAGTGGGCGGCGGAGGCTTTTTGTTTGTGGAGCTGGAAAAAAACGAGGAGCATGAGAGGCAGCAAACTCTGCATCTTTTCTTCACCGAGTTCAAACGTAAGTACATGTTGATTGGAAGTTTCTTAAAAAACCCAAAACACTGTCAGACACCAAACCCGATCCCCCAAAAAGTACAGTCTTTAAATTTTTTGTCTGTTTAGTTCGTTTTTCATTATATGTTTACATTTTGTTTTCATCCGTTTGAACGTGGTGTAAGATGTATGTAGGGTGTAAGAGGAATGTGGTGATTCTCTAGAGACAAGTTGATCCATGGATGAATGGATGGATGGATGGATGGAAGGATGGATGGATGGATAGATAGATAGGTATATATTGCGACAGGACATATAATACTTTATTGGACAATTTCTTTAGAACATCCTCGCTGCGAGTGGCGAACCATTATTCCTGAGGTTTTTATTAAACTTCACACTTGACCCAAAAAAAAAGAAGTTGATCCATTCTCTCTAATGCCTCACTAAGCACGAACAAATCATTTTGTAAGTGAGACATTTTTCCAGTGACTGGAGTATAGAAGGAACAATTCTAATGGTAGAAAAAAGAACGAAGACTACAAGCGAAAGTATGCATTAGAAATAAATATCTTAGTATGTCTAGGGGAGTTGAAAGACTGTGCTTACCAAGAGTTTATAATGCATTTCTGAACAGTACACTTAAAGAATATTTTCATCTATTCCGCAGATAATCACAGCATAACAACGCAGAACATGCTGGAATTTATGAGTGTTATCTACCAAGATGCCAAGCTAGCTCTTCTTTTGATGCGAAAGTTAAATGAACTAGCTCTGAACGGCACAGATAAGTGCCTGAAACCCAACAGTAACAGTAGCGACAGCAGCAACAGCACCAAATTAACCCCGGAGGAGTTGTATAAACAACACAAAGAGACTGGCGTTCTCCCCGTCATTTGGAACGTCGCGAACAGCGCAGGTTTTGTCATCAGCGCCATCACTACTATAGGTACGGGAAAAACAAACAAACTGAAGCTGTACAAAACCATGTTATAGTCGGCCAGCTCCTGTTTAAGTGTTCTAAACCCAAAATTTCGAATATTTTGTGACCAGAACTGTTGAAGTGTTGGCCAATTGGAGTGCTGGAAACATCCTCATCACCATCACCATCACCATCATCATCATCATCATCATCAGCAGCAGCAGCAGCAGCAGCAGCAGCAGCAGCATCATCTCTCTCTCTCTTCTCTCTCTCTCTCTCTCTCTCTCTCTCCCTCCCTCTCTCCCCCCCCCTCTCTCTCTCTCTCTCTCTCTCTCTCTCTCTCTCTCTCTCTCTCTCTCTCTCTCTCTCTCTCTTCCTGGTAAAGGCCAATGTTTTTTTACATTTTTTCTTAAAGTATCCAAAGTGTTCGTTCTATTTCCCTTTTTTTCCGGCAAACCGAGATATGATGTGCCTCTGTAGTTCAGAATATAAAACCTTTTGGTCATTTAGTTGAAAAGAAACCACTCTGAACGGGCGTCTGTTGTGGTGGGGTTTGACCCTAGGCGGATACACCCAGGAGACCCGAGTTTGATTCTCGGGCAGGGAGAATTTTTATCGAGTGTCTCGGCCTTTCTGCGGGGACGTTGTGTCCCCTCACAACCTGAGTTGGGCCTGACAGGCAGGATCAAAGCCCGCCCCCTGGATGATCTAAATTGTGACGATGGGGGCGTAAAAACACCAACATACTTATTTTTAAAACACACTACATAGCTACATAAAACAGTGGAGGATCAGGAACAAAAGAAATCAATAACTTAAGAACGTCTTACTCCAAGGTGACACTACACCTTCATGGCGTGTATTGTCTTTTCCAGAATGGTTAACATGTTACCTCGTTTGTCAAAATAAATAGTAACCAACGGTGTATTTACTTCATAGTCAGGAAGACAACGAATAATTGTGGCGCAATAACTCTAAGACCTGGAAAAAGTGGACTCCTTTACCTACCTTGGAAGTGTCATCGATGGTAAAGGTGAAACCGAGGCAGATGTTAAAGCAAGAACCGCCAAGGCAAGGTCAGCATTTAATCAAATTATCAAAAGTCTGGAAAACAAGCAACATCTCACTGCGCACCAAGATTCGACTCTTTAACTCTAACGTCAAGTCGGTGCTCCTCTGCGGCTGTGAAACTTGGAAGAAAACAAATACAGTACTGAATAGAGTCCAGACTTTCATCAACAGATGTATGAGGAGTATTCTAAGAATTAAGTGGCAGGATAGAGTAAGAAATGAAGAGCTGTGGGAAAGGACAGGACAAAAGGATATAGAAGTAGAAACAGGACTAAGAAAGTGGCCATGGATGGGACACACCTTAAGAAAGCCCAGCGGAAACCTCACAAGACAGTCAATGCAGTGGAACCCACAAGGATCTCGAGGCAGGGGTAGACCACGGGAAACATGGAGGAGATGTGTGGAAAGGGACATGAGAGAGATGAAGCTCACTTGGAACGAGCTTGGAAGGATGGCTCATGACAGAGATAAATGGAAGGAGCTTGTATGTGGCCTATACCCTGCCAGGGGTGAAAGGCATTGATGATGTTGATTAACTCTAAGAGTTCTCAACGTCTACTGACTGAATGTACTTTTATTTTGCCTTATTTTCCCCATTCATTAAAAATGTCTGACTGCTTGTAGCCTACTGCAACTGCATCCTCATGAATTAATATCAAATCTTCATTCTTGTTTGAACTTTTTAGTGGGTAACGCATGCCTCTAGCTTGAAATCTACATTTTTTAATTCTTGAAATGCTAATATTTACTACAGTACCGCACTTAATACTAAACATGCTCAAACAAAGAAGAGAATGCTTATGAGTTGTAAGAGTTACGGATTTCAACTGGGTTCTTTTTTTTTATAATTCTCATCTATAGCCACTTAGAATTGATAAACCTGCGCGTTAGGGCGCTTTGCTTGATTAAAGGAAAATGAACCACCGTGTGGTACGGCCGTTAAGAACACACAGTAAAGCTGATTACGTTATATTATGTCTTTCATTGAAATCACAAACGTCACAAACTTAGCGCTCACTAAACAGTCCTGATAAGTACTTAAGCTTTTTATGGGGGAATTTATTCCATCACTTTCTTTACCTCACTTCCAACTATTTCGAGCGATTTGTTTGCTCGAAATAGATTCTGTTGCTATCACATTTCTACTTTGTTTAGATAGGATTCGTCATACATATTTTGCTGTTATCATATTTCTACTTTATTCAGACTGTTTTTGAATCGCTCAAACGTTTAATATTGTCACTTGATATTGTTAGTCTATGTTAACTGAGGCGATTTCTGTTTCTATACAAAGACTTTGAATATCTTGGTAATGGGATCATTATCTTCCTTCAAATATAATCATACCTGGCGGTCGTTGAGGTAGCAAAAGAAATATAGGTGCACAGTACTGATGTGGTGATGTTGAAAAAGTTGCATATTATCGCTGGCCACGACACGTGAAATTGTGCTAAGCTCAAATGTGTATACATTTTTTTCCATTGCAGTTCTCAATTAAAATCTGCGGTATCGGTTGCATTAGCTCCAGAAACGATTTGTCAAAATTCGAATTCTTTAATTAATGGGG